GTGTGTGTGTGTGTGAGAGAGAGAGGGAGGGAGGGAGGGAGGGAGGGAGGGAGAGAGACAGAGAGAGAGTGTGTGTTTTTAAGTGTTTTTGTAGGTAAGAAAGGACTCAGGAATATTTGCATGTTATTGATCAATTGGATGGACTAAATGGCCTTCCATCTAGTCCATCCAAAGGTTGTAAGTCGAGGACTAACTGGGCCTTGTGTGGTTTTGTTATAGAAATTTCAAGACACCAGCCAGTATGTGGTCGCCGAACTACGGGCGTTGGAGAACGAACAGAAGCAGATTGACGGGCGGGCAGCGGTGGTGGAGAAAGAGCTGCGGGCTCTGATGCAAACAGGTAGGACAAAAAGCAGCAGCAGCAGCAGCTGGCAAATGTTCCCAGGTGTGCCCCTGGCTGTTGTGAGGCCCGTCCAGCAGCCGGATCAGAGGAGGGGGAGGCATGGGAGTCGGGATCGGCATCAAGACAACCTGAGAGCTCTGAGGGGGAAGAGAGAGAGAGAGAGAGAGAGAGGTGGAGCCTCAGCCCTCAGGTCTGGAGGTGGCTGGTGAGGAAGAGGAGGAACAGCTGCGTCCAGTGCCCGACACTTGGATGCGCAGAAGGCAGAGGAGAGGAGAGCAGTGGAAATCTATGGGCCGGTCCTTGGGACGGAAATCCCACCACTGCTAGCGAAGCCCCACCGTAGCTCTGGGGATAAAAGGCAGGGGGCGGAGATGAATAGGGGTGGCAGACAACTATTCATCTCCCTGCCGGACGGACTTGTCAGCCTGCGGTGAAAGAAATATTTTGCCGCTCCTAATAAAGGAATCCTTGCTTGAATTACAGAGGGTTTGTTGTGTTTGGGGAGCTGGGTCAGAACACTGGCTGATCCTTGGGTGCCATCCCGAAACAGCTGGAGCACCAATTTGGACACTGCCATCAGCATTGACAAGTTTACTATCGGTCAATTGCAAAAGGGCAAATTGACTCGGAACAGCTTACAGCCGGGGTTCCCACAAAACGTGGGAAGCAGAGGAAACTAGTGGTAGTCCCCGGCTTATGACCACAGTTGAGCCCAGAGTTTATGTGGCTGAGGGAGACATTTCTTAAGGGAGCATCGTCCCAGTTTTACGACCTCTCTCACCACGTTCGTTAAGTGAATCCCTGCCGTTCTTAAATTAGTCACACAGTCGTGAAGTGAATTTGGCTTCCCCATGGACGTTGCTGGTAAGAAGTTTGCAAAGTGGGGAACACGCTACCCCAGGATGCCGCGACCGTCATAAATGCGAGTCAGTTGTCAAAGCATCCAAATATAAATCAGGTGACCCATGGAGAGGCTGCAACGGTCATAAGTGTGGAAAACGGTCCTAAGTCTCTTTTCCCAGGACTGTTGTGACTTTGAACGGTCACTAAACGAACTGTTGTTAAGTTGAGGACCAGCTGTAATTTGTGGGAGTGAAACCCTGGGAGTTTGTCCACTTTATGATGTCAGAAAAGAACAATGCGAATATATTTCTGGGGTCATTTTGGGATTCCGCTGCCATCTACTGTCTGATTGTGGGACTGCCCAAAATTCAACCTTCGGGCGTTCACTTTAAAATACTCTCAATTTGGGGGGAAATAATTTGGGAGATTTTAGCAGTCCAGGATAGGCAGCCCAGGATGGTCACTTCTTCATAATTCAAAGTTTAAGGAATTATAAAGTATAATTAGAGAGGGATAATTGAAAAAAGTTAAGCAGGAATTTGATAAGTTCCTATTGGTTTGGCCGTACATAATGGTTCTAGTTTGTGACCCTCCTGGGAAAATTAATTGCCCACTCACTTAGCAACATATATTTTTGGACTCAATTGTGGTCGTAAGCTGAGGAGTATCTCCAATGATCTCTTCTGTAGGAGTTGAAACTTAGATGCTAAGAAGTTCAGGCAGACAGATGGGGTTGTTCTGTCCTAGGCCTTACCAAAAAACACTCAGTCAATTCTGAGTCCTGGCAAAACCCTTTTTATTTTACAATAACGTGAATTATTTCATTCACAGTCAGCCAACAGCTTGGCAAACAGTCTCGGGAAGGTAGGCTAATTATCTCAGACCTTTATCAATCCTGGAACGTTTCCTGGTAAATAGTTCCACACTCATTGTTGGCAAGGAAGGCTGGGTTTACAAACAAATCTCCAGGAGGCTGGAACAAGCAAAACGACCGACCGGGTTGTTTCCTGCAAAAACCCACTCCCCTTTTGCTCCTTTTTTAATCCTGATGGGAGGAGCCATTCATCATCATCTTTTACTCCCATATGGACTCTGAGTTCTTAATTGCTCCTTTTTTTTATTTTTAACAACAAACATAAACAAACACAAACATAAAACAACAAATAACACCTTCGTTCAATTGTACAGCGTGTCGGTTGGTACATGTCTCTTGTGCACAATATCAACAGTCCTTCCCTCTTAAGTTAAATTAAAATTCATATTATATAGATCACCTATTCATATCATGTTAGATTATTATCAAATCATCGTTAGACTTTAATTGCAAATGCACATCATCCTTTTCGAGCAAATCTCAACTTTTACTAGTTCATGTTATAATTCCTTCCATAATATACAGTACAATTATAACATATCATTTCATTGTATTTTATTTACTTATTGTCTTATATTTATATTATAATGTATTTCATTTCTCTGTTTTCCTACTGATAAAATCAATCCCATATTTTGCAATATTTATTGCTCCCTTCTTTTAGCAGTTCTGTGCATGCACAGTTTGGGAACCGGTTCCAACTGCTCCTCAGCCTCACTGCTATCTGAGCCTGAAGGCAGCTGACGACTGCCAGACTGCCTTGGGCCCATCTCTGCCTCCGATGCAGAGCCCTTGTCTGAGCCCTCTTCAGCCTCCAGGCCCGGCCCAGGTTCCTCCCCAACCTCCTCACTACTATCCGACTCTGCTGCCGGCTCCGCCAGCCGCCAGAGGGCCACAACAGGGGTCAGGCACTAGAAGCCAAAGGGCACCCATCAATCTTTCCTTGTTTTCCTTTCCTTTTAGGCGCAAATAAGTTGAAGGAGGAAGAACTGATCCAGGAATGGTTCACCCTGGTCAATAAGAAGAATGCCCTGATCCGAAGACAGGACCAGCTGCAGCTGTTGTGAGTAGGAGACAGAACAAGCAGCGTCCAATTACACTTACATATAGTCTACAGGGAGTTCTTGGAGTGGTGCAGTGGCCTAGAGGTGACGCTCTCGCCTCATCATCAGGAGGCTGTGAGTTCGATCCGAGGTAGAGGCAGATATTTTTCTCTCTGGGCACAATGAGAATATCTGTGCCAAACAAAACTCTGCATTGGCAACAGGAAAGGCTTCCGGCCAGTAAAACACTCTGCTAGCTCCATTCAGTTGCCCAGATTTCCACCCTGTAAGGCAGGGGTCCCCAATCACCGGTCCGCGGACCGGTACCGGTCCGCGGAACAACTCCTACCGGGCCGCTGGCTTGCTAGGCGCCGCCATCTTTTTTTCATGAAAAAGTGCTTCCGGTGAGCTTTTCCGGGTAGAAAGCTCACCGGAAGCCCTTTTTCATCAAAAAAAGATGGCGGCGCCCAGCTGATGCCGGTACCGGGCCGCGGCATCAAAAAGGTTGGGGATCACTGCTGTAAGGGATTACGGGGTTTTTAAAAGAGATTATACAGGTAATCCTTGACTTACAACAGTTGATTTAGTGATTGCTCAAAGTTACAACGGCACTGAAAAAAGTGATTAACGACCATGTTTCACACTTAACAACCGCTGCGGCATCCCGATGGTCACCTGATCAAAATTCAAATGCTTGACAATTGACTCGTATTTATGACAGTTGCAGCATCCCGGGGTCATGTGGTCCCCTTTCAGACCTTCTCCCAAGCAGAATCCATGGGTCAAACCCAATTCGCTTAACAACCGTGCGACTAACGGAACAGCCGCAGTGATCCGCTTAACAATCATGATAAGAAAAGGCATAACGTAGAGGCAAAACTCGCTGAACAAACATTTCATGTAGGCCACAGAAATGTTGGGCTCAATCATGGGGACCGGAATTTCTGCCATAAGTCAGTGCCTTCGTAAAATGATCACCCACATGCCTGGATCCAGTTTGTGAGCATTTGTATCATTGTCATCCAGTAAACCATTAAGTCATTAAATGAATCACACAGTCATTAAGTGAATCACAGGGTTGTTGAGTGAATCCAGATTCCCCAGTTAACATTACAGATCACAATTGCGTGATTGACTGCAAGGCCCTTTTTCAATGCCGGCCAAGCACCCAAATTGCAATCAAGTGACCAACCACGGGGTGGTGGTGATGCAGTGGTCATAAGTGCGAGGAACAGTTGTAAATCATGTTTTTCCAAGTCCATCATAACTGAAAATAAACTTTGAGCTGTTATGAAAGGAACGGTCGTAAGTCAAGGACTTAAATCTACAAGGGCCTAAGTCCAGGGCAGTGGCCTCGAGGTGGTGCTCTCACCTCACAATCAGGAGGCTGTGAGTTCAATCCTAGGTAGAGGCGAATATTTGGAATAGACTCTCCTGCTCGAGTGGGAGGGGGGTTGGACTAGATGCCCTCCAAGGTCCCTTCCAACTCTGTTGTCCTATGTTCTAATGTGCCTACTTGCCGCTAAGATTAAAACCTGTTCTGACCAAGGTTTCCGAGACCGTAATTATGCACACACTTAGTTAAAACAACTCTTGTTTTATTTCAACACTGGGAATTATTTTCATTCCCAGCTGGTAATGAGTCCCAAACAGTTCCTCGAGATAACCACCCACCTTTCTCTCCTTTGAATTGCTGTCAACAACTAAAGTGGCAAATGAACTATAAAAAACCAACGTACAAAGTCCACACAGAGCTTCAAGGATTAATCCGAATAGAGTGAATGACCTTGCTTCCTGCAAAGGTTTCTTCACCTTTGCCTATCCTTTAGACCTTATGGGAGAGGCAATTACCTCCCAGACTTACTTCCGAGTCGCCCCTTTTGTCTCAGCTGCTCTTGCCTTCTGGCAGCTCTGTGCATGCACGCACTGGGAACAGGCTCCCACTGTTCCTCTACCTCGCTGCTGCCAGACTCCAGAGGCTCCGGAGACAGCACCCCACTCCCAGATGGTCCTGGTCCCATCTCTGCATCGGACGCAGGACCCTCGTCCGAGTCCTCCCCAGACTCCCAGACTGGCCCCTATTCTTCCCCACCGTCCGATTCCACTGCCATCTGCACAGGCTGCCAGCGAACCACAGCAAAACCAAAGATATTGCATCGCCTCTCTTGTTTCCCTCCCCTGGTTTGGTGTGTGTGTGTGTGTGTGTGTGTGTGTGTGTGTATCTTTAAATGGGACCCCCCTGTTTTTTTTCCAATCCTTGAAGCCTCCCCCAAGTGCATCGCACCCTGATTTTTGTGAATCCTCCTGGAATTGGGCCTGAGTGTCACGGGCTTATGTTTTTCCAGGATAGAAGAGCAAGACCTGGAGCGGCGGTTTGAGCTCCTGAGCCGTGAACTTCGTGCCATGATGGCCATTGAAGGTGAGGCCTGGCGTCTCAGCCAGATGGGCAACCCCTTCTCCCTCCCTCAAGTGAGACTAGGGTTCATTGTAGCTACCTGGAACAAAAAAGCACAAGGATTGGCATTCGGGTGTCCGGAGGGCCTACCTTACAGGGGTGTTGTAGTAATTCAGGTCAAGAAGGTGGATGGTGGCGATAAAAAAACCCCCACAGATCCTGCCAGCTGCTTCACGTATTGGTTCACGAGGGTAGCGATCTACGACGGGGCCTTTTGGGTGGTGGCCCCCACGTTGCTTAAAACCAGAATGTCAACTCATAAAACATTCCTGTGCCTTTTTTAGGAGTTGCCAGAAAAAAAAAGGGGGTGGGGAGGAAGGAAATCTGGAAGAGCAGTGCAGCAGTTTGGAAGCAAAAGTACATTCCAACTCTTTATCTTTAAAAGATTGTAACTAAACTACCAGAGCTTACAATCGCCAGTGGAACAGCCTGCCACCAGAAGTTGTGGGCGCTCCATTACTGGAGGTTTTTAAGAAGAGACCGGACAGTCACACGTCTGAGATTGTATAAGTTCTTCTTCTTGAGCAGGGGGCTGGACTAGAAGACCTCTGGGGTCCCTTCTAGGCTCTGTTCCGAATTGAAAACAATGGAGTCACTTGGCTTGTTTGTATATTTGCTTTTCTCCCTGACTCAGCTGGGAAAGCCGGAAATTCTTTTTTTTAAATGCACCACTTTGATTGAAAGCCTGTTTTTTCTACTCTGCAGACTTGCTCAAAACAGAAGCCCATCAGCAACGGGAGCAGCTCCTTCTGGAAGAACTGGTCTCACTGGTGAATCAGAGGGATGAATTAGTCAGAGATCTAGATATCAAAGAGCGTATGTAAGTTGGCATAAGTCTTCCTTTTTCTTTTGTCTTCCTTCCTACGCTCTTCCTTTCTTTCCTTTCTTCCTTCTTTCTTTCTCTGTTTCCTTCTTTGTATGTCCTTCCTTCCTTTCCTCATTTCCTTCTTTGTCTCTCGCCTTTCTCTACCCTTCCTTTCTTCCTGCCTCTCTCCTTTCTTTTTTTTTTCCTTTTCTTTCTCCTTTCTTCCTTTCTCCTTTTTCCTCTTTCCTTATCCTTCCTTCCTTCCTTCTTTTTTCGTTCCTTCCTTCTCCTTTCTTTACTTTTCCTTTCCTCTTTCCTCCCTTCTTTTTCTTTTCCTTCCTCCCTCCCTTTCTTTCTTTTCTTTCTTTCTTTTTTCTTTTCTTTCTTCTCTTTCTCACTCTCTCTTTCTTTCTTTCTCTCTTTTTCTCTCTTCTTTTCTTTTCTTTTTTCTTTTCTTTTCTTTCTTTCCCCAGCCCAAATATTCTAGCCACAAGGGTACAACCTAGGTGTATGGGAGGGGGATGTCTTCCTTTTTAACCCCTCAACATTCTGTCATTGGCCTCCCAAAAGTCTTCTTCCAATTTGTAGTTCTTTTTTTTAAAGAGAATGGATTTTGAAACTCCTGGGGAATTGGCATTTAATCTCATTTTAATTACCTTGAAATCAAAATAGAATGAAATACAAGTTTGGGCCTCTTTGCCAAACGCCTCCCACCCACAAAAAGGTTGTTCCTTCCTATTGCTGGTCCTTAGCTGCAGAATAGCGATGAAGGCTTTAATGTACTTAACAGAATAACAGAGTTGGGAGGGAGCTTGGGGGGGGTCATCTAGTCCAACCTCTTGCTCAAACAGACGGTGAGTTCTAGTCCTGCCTTAGGCAGGAAAGCCGATTGGGTGACTTTGGGCCAATCACCAGGAGACGGTGAGTTCTAGTCCTGCCTTAGGCAGGAAAGCCGATTGGGTGACTTTAGGCCAATCACGAGGAGATGGTGAGTTCTAGTCCTGCCTTATGCATGAAAGCTAGCTGAGCGACTTTGGGCCAATCACCAGGAGACAGTGAGTTCTAGTCCCGCCTTAGGCAAGGAAGCCAGCTGGGTGACTTTGGGCCAATCACCAGGAGACAGTGAGTTCTAGTCCTGCCTTAGGCAGGAAAGCCGATTGGGTGACTTTGGGCCAATCACCAGGAGACGGTGAGTTCTAGTCCTGCCTTATGCATGAAAGCTAGCTGAGTGACTTTGGGCCAATCACCAGGAGACGGTGAGTTCTAGTCCTGCCTTAGGCAGGAAAGCCAATTGGGTGACTTTGGGCCAATCACCAGGAGACGGTGAGTTCTAGTCCCGCCTTAGGCAGGAAAGCCAGCTGAATAAATTTGAGCCAATCACTCTCTCAGCCCAGCCCACCTCACAAGGTTGTTGTTGTGGGGAAAATAGAAGGAGAAAGGACTATTAGATACGTTCGCCTCCTCGAGTTGTTTATATAAATAATACAGGCGGGATATAAATACCTGAACAAATTAAAATAAAAACCTAACAAAGAAATAAAAATAAGGGAGAGGCCTAACAGCGCTTTCCTTTTCCCTCACCTTTTCCTCCCGTCTCCCTTCCTGTCGCACCCCGAAATCTCTCAGAGCTTTGGAAGAAGACGCCAGGCTGGAGCGGGGCTTACAGCAGCGACGTCACAAGATGAGTCGGCGGGAGAAGTGCCGCGTCAGCTGAGAAGCGCTCCTGCGACACCCCTGCAGTGTGGGGGGAAGCCCAGCCCCAACGGGTTCCCGAACCGCCAACCGATCTGTTGCCTTCCCAATGTTGCTCCGGCTTGCTGTGCTCTTATTCATGTCCAGGAGAAAGGCTCTCCCCCCTCCTCAAAAGTGGAATAAATTAAGAGGCACTTATGCCCCTCAAAAAAATGGGGGGCATAAATTTGAGGTGCCCTTTGATTTCTTTTTTTTTTTTTTAAACCCACCCCCAAAAAACAATTTTCGATAGGGATTTTTCTCTTGATCCGAGGGGGGAGAGATTTGCAACGATCTGTTTTAGAAACTATTTATTGGTTTGCGTGTGTGTGCTCGCGTGTGCGCCAGCCTTCCTGTGCATGCCAGGCGGTGCTGAGTTCGAGAATGGCTCCTTCCTCCCATTTGGATGTTCAAGCTTTTGCCAGAAGCCGCCTTTTACTTTTTGAATGTTTCCTGTTTATTATTTTTTGTTTTGTTTTTTTGTTTGTTAAAAAAAAAAAAAACAATCCACACTTGATGGTACCAAAGCCACCGAGTGCCTTGAATTCTCCTAGTGCCAAATCGGGGTGACGGGCAAAGCTTTCATGCCCAGCTCTCTTCCTAACGTTGGGGCTCCTGAGTATTTGCACTAAATTTGTACTGGACTTCAGAATAAATGTTTTGAAAATACAAACAGCGGGTGAGTGATGCCAAGGGCCCAGAAGGAGGGGTGGATTCATTCCCAGCCATGGATTCAATCATATGTCAGGCTAAGTCAACTCCTCCCATTTCAATCGACAAGAAGGGACTTCTGAAATCCAGGTGTTTCAAAAGGAATCCTTTATTGAGATGAGACAATTCAAGGAGGGGTTCAAAAGCAGCGTCTAACGCAGGGGTGTCCAACCTTTCACCTTCCCTGGGCCACATTAGAAGATGAAAATTTGGTTTGGGCCGCACATAATTAAATTAAATTAATTAAATTAAATTAAATTAAATTAAATTAAATTAAATTAAATTAAATTAAATTAAATTAAATAATTAAATTAAATTAAATTAAATTAAATTAAATTAAATTAATTAAATTAAATAATTAAATTAATTAAATTAAATTAAATATTAAATTAAATTAAATAATTAAATAAAATAAAATAATTAAATAAAATAAAATAATTAAATAATTAAATTAAATTAAATTAAATTAATTTAATTAAATTTAATTAAATTAATTAAATAAAATAAATTAAATTAAATTATTAAATTAAATTAAATTAAATTAATAAGATAATAAAATAAAATAAAATAAAATTATTATTTATTATTTATTCAAAATTATTTATTTTTTATTTTATAATTTTCTGGCCAAATTTTGCGGGGTGGGGGGGAGGGGGGGAAGAAAGCTCACCCGCCTCACGCCTACCTCTCCTGCAAATGCAGCGGCGGTGGCAGCGGTGGCGGGGGCAGAAGCAGCGGTGGCGGGGGCAGAAGCAGCAGCGGTGGTGGCGGCGGCGGCAACATGAGGTGGCGGGGCGGGACTTTTGGGCTGCGGCTGCCCGCCTTTTCTGTTGCTCGCCTCGCCCCGCCTCGTGCCTACCTCTCCTCCTCCTCCTCGCTGGATCTTTCATGAAGGTTGGGGTGGGCATTGGGCCGCATTACGAGGCAACCTGGGCCGCATGTGGCCCGCGGGCCGCGGGTTGGACAAGCCTGGTCTAACATCTCCCAGGCAGGCAGTGATAGATAAGGGAGTTTAGGACCCCTCCCCTTCTCTTGATGTGTATTTTGTAAAACAAAGAATCAACATGTTAAATCCCCCTCTCCTCTTCTGAGAACGATCTTCTGAAGGGTTTCGCAGGAAACATCTCCCGGCTGGAATTTTTATGGTCCTTTCTCTTTTGCTGTCTCTTCCAGAGGCGACAGGTTTCCAGGGCATCTGGTTTCAGTCTCTCAGTTGTATATCAAGTGTAGGTTATACAAATTCAATATAAGATTTAATATATTCAAGTTATATCAAAAAAGGATTTCTTTTACCAACTTCCTTCCCCCTTTCCTTCCCCCTGTCTTCTTCCATCGAAGAATGGCAGATACACGGATCTGACATCCTAATTGTACAGGTGGTCTCTTTCCCCGAAAATACAACCTACCCTGAAAGTAAGTCCTAGCTTGATTTTTTTTTAACACGTGCGCCCAATATAAGCCCTACCCCCCAAAATAAGCCCTAATTAAGATCCTGCCCACTCCAGAGTAGACAGGTAAAAATTAAGCTAGGGTGGAGGTGGGAGGGTGAAGCTGCCCTACTACTTATCTTTGTAGCCAGGCCTCGCACACCTCAACACCTGCCTTGCCGGCCCATTTCTTCTACAACCACCAAAGCTGGCTAAGGCTTTCCTGAAGGCCTCTGCAGCTGAGAACAAAGCTCTGGATCGATCTAGAGCTCCATTATCGGCTGCAGAGGCCTTCAGGAAAGTCTTGCCAGCTGCAGGAAAAGACAGCGAAAAGGAAGCCGGGGACAACACACACAAATGATATATATATGAATGACCAGGTCTTATTTTCGGGCAAACACGGTAATCCTTGGGTTACAACTATTCAATTAACCGTTCAAAGTTACAATGGGACTGGAAAAAAACCTACAGGTAAAAAAAAACCTCGAAGTGACGACCACAATCAAGCACAATATTTCTGTGGCTAAGCGAAACATTTGTTACGTTGAATTTTGCCCCATTTTACCACCTGTCTTGCCACAGTTGTTAAGTGAGTCATTGCTGTTGTTAAGTTAGTAACCCGGTTGCTAAGTGGATCCGCCTTCTTTGCTTGTTGGAATGTGCTGGACTTGCAACAGTTCATTTAGTGACCGTTTAAAGTTACAACAAAAGTGACTCAGGACCGTTTTTCACACGTACGACCGTTCCAGCATCCCCATGGTCACGTGATCAAAATTCAGATGCTTGGCAACTGACTCGTATTTACGACGGTCGTTGTGTCCCAGAGTCAATGGAATCCCCTTTTGAGAAGCCAAGTCAATGGGGAAACCAGATTCATTTAACAACCATGTTATATAAACTTAACTGCAATGATTCACTTAAGCGCTGTGGCAAGAGAGGTTGTAAAATAGGAATAAAACTCACTTAACAAATGTTTCACTTAGGGACAAAAATGTTGTGGCTCAATTGTGGTCGTAAGTCGAGGATTACCTGAATTGGAGAGGTTGGGGAATGCAGTGAATGTGCGGTGAGAGGAACACATTTAAGGGGCATCCTTTTCAGTTTTTGGGGAGCAGGGTCCGAGATTGGAGGTCAATGCAAGTTGATCCCTGGTCACGATCCCCACACGGTCCTCCTCCTCCAGCCTCAGTCTGCGGGACGGAGCAAAGAAACGGACCAGAGCACGGATTTCTTGTAGCTGGTAAATTGTTTCCAGGGTCACAAGCATGGCTAGCAAACCGGTAAGTAGGTAGCCTATAGAAAGGGGGAAACAGGAAGATAAAAGTGACTTTGAAATTACCTGACAGTGAGAACAATTGACCAGTGGAACAACTTGCCACCAAAAGTTGTGGGTTCCATCACTGGAGGCTTTCAAGAAGAGTTGAAGTGCTCAAAGTTGCCAAGGTTGGACACTTGTGTAAGATCTCGTGCTCAAGCAGGGGGTTGGACTAGAAGACCTCCCAAGATCCCCAGGATCCTATGATTCTGAATCATAGATACTATAAACAGCAGATGGATGGATGGATGATAGACGGATACAGATAGATATTGGTAGATAGGTAGATGGATACATAGAGATAGATGATAGATGGGTAGAGATATGGATAGGGATAGTGTAGATAGATAGATAGATAGATAGATAGATAGATAGATAGATAGATAG